CGGTCCTTCGTAGGCCTCCTGGTGGTCCTCCTCCGATGGTCTGCGTGTACGCAAGCGGCCTTCGTTTTTTTGAACCGTACAGAGATGCGTGTTTTTTTCCTTGGATGTTTCTTTGTTTTCTAAATTCGCTTCAGCTGGTCTTTTTCTCGCCTATGAGACTGGCATTCAATTGTGTTTAGTTCCCTGGACGAACCGTCGTCAGTTTCAGCGTTTGATATGGCTAGAGAAGCCGTGGTTGCATATGCTTCTTTCGGATTCTGGATTGCAGAATTCGTCGACTTCTTCTCCTCACGTAAGTGGTGAATAAGCTTCCTTAACTTTTCTACCCTCATTTTAGACCTTTTAACTCCCCCTCCATTTTCGAAAATTTATGGATGAGTCCGAAACATGTGGTACAGATTTCATCATCGTATGTGACACCCCCCAACGTCACTAGACTTTTTGCTCTTTTTACGGGCATTGGTCTGACGGCAGAAAGTCCAACAATGCGGTCATTAATATCATGCGTAATACATCATGTATCATTTGTTTTGGCGACACTGGCGCGAGTCAGTGGCTTAGTGATAATGACGGTTTTCTGACCGAGCGACGGCCCGGGTTCGACTCTCGCCTGAGGCACGCATTTTACACCGTGTGTTGAGGGCATTTCTCTGAATAACATTACCGAGTTTCCAAGCTTTAAACGGTTTTCTTAAAGGTATGAGACGAATTTTCAACCAGATCAAAGATATGAGGTAAACGACCCAGCCTTTCGTAGTTTTTGGGGCGACTGGACGAGGATAGGCTATCCCGCACAAGTCCTGGTGTAGGTTTCCAGGGATGGATCGGTCGCAAAGACGAATCGGATTCTTAATACCCACGAGCCTTGAGGCCGCCCAGTAGATAGAAATCCCGATAAAAGTGAAATCCCTCGAGGTCGAAAATTTCAAACCGAATTCGAAACGCGCTCGGGGACACTAGATTATGGCATGCCATTAATGACTATGCATTTACTACGATCCACTCGAGGGCCCTGTGTCATTGTCTTGTCGTCAGAGACTGCGTCGTCGTCATTTCGGTTGTCCTTGTCTTGTGATTTGGGGATCACGAAGTGACAGATTAAACGCCAGGGTCCGTGCTTACCAAGACTTCTGGATCGTCTGGTGCCTTCGACACTGCCGCTGTTACTGGAAGTGTGCTTAAACTCGGTCCACCAATACTAACGCCCTGACTTACTCCATCTTTTTGAGAAGCTTTTAGGGGTTTCTTTGTTTTTCGAGACCCCTTGCCATCGTCCTTTTTTGTACATGAGACTGGTTAGCGGGTTTCTCGAGTTTCGTAGACTCGCCGCAATCTCTTTCACTGGCTGTTCCAGCTGAACAAGCCGTGTTTGAGTATGTTCTCTCTCCTTCCCAAATTTCTGTTGTCGCCGATTCCCTGTCGTTAGACAAAACGCGAGGGTGTCCCTTTAACTTCTTAATCTCTATTTTTAGATCCTCCATGTTCTTTTTCTTCCCCAAAAGTTATCGAAGGAGTCTGAAGCATGTTATATTGGTGTTACCTTTGCCCATATGGTGGGAGGTGGTTTTACAGCACAATATCCAGAATTGCAGTCATTTTTACGATTTATGCTTGCTCCATCAGCTAAATAAGTGGGAGTGCATCTATAGTCCATTGGTGACTACGCAGCTCGTAACACGCATGTGCGAAGGCCATATTTTCAGCTCTCATAATTAATTGCAAAAATGTAAAACATGTTTAAAGTTCTGGGGCAAAAATTTTAGCCCGACCAACTGTATGAATACAATAGCCAAACAACTCAGCTCTTCGTAGTTTGGAGAATCCCATAGAACTGCTGGCTGGAAGTGGTCAAGAGGACATCGGTTTTTTAAGCTGAAATCCGGTCGTAAACTTAAGGGTGGAGATAGTGCCGACTCGAATCCAAATCTTCACAACAATAGTCTAAAAGAGCCCCTAGTAGAACGAAAAATCGGAGGTCGCAAATTTCAAACCAAACTCGAGGAGTGCTTTGGTTTTCTAAAATACAGATTTGCCGAATACGGCATCAGTGAAGTTCCGGAAATGTGGAACAGACTAGCTGCCCGAACTAATGACGTCTTCAAAGCCCAGTAGTCTCCGCAGTGAGGCCATTCACTAGTGGCAGCCTCACGAACCTTGTGGAGGGGAGAGACGACAGAGCCTTCAAAGTGACGGGTTATGCCCATCTGAAGCGTGTGCCCGAACTCTGTCTTGGTGACAGCTAGACGTGCAGGTACGAGACAGCGCCGCCGAGAAAACACAGGAGAGACAGTTGTACGAATATGATGACCAGCGTCGTACGGTTGAATTGAGACACTGAGGTTAGGACGAATGAAGTCCGCATATTTCGTGCGGAGTTGCCGAAATAGAACATATGGGTCAGGGTCCAGGGCAGCCAACTTATGAGGGGTCTCAGAGGAACAGATGCCCCTGATGGAGAGCTTTGTGGTCAGACCGCGTGGACGGGGCGGAAGGCATTCGGCCCGAAATTCGAAAGCGGCAAGTAAATCTGCTCCAAGAATGGTGAAGAGCAGGTGTCTATGGTAAAGACTCAAGAAAAGATACGCCGGAGACCAATGTTCAGGAAACGTGGGCGGCAAGATGTTTACGGCCTGAAGGAAAAGACTGGGGTTATTATATGGAAGCTAGGCTGCTGTGGGAGTAATAGCACTTAGGTGAGCACCAGTATCAACTGCGGTTATCACAGATGAAGAAGGTACGACCAGGTTCATAGGCTCTGGGAAGATTGGTTACACTGAACTCTTGGCTGACCATTTTAATCGTTTGTTCTGACTAGATATTACTGAGTGGAGGGAAATGAGGCGATGGGCTTTGGCATTAAAGGTGGTGTGATACCAGGGGGCGATATCGGTTCTGGAACGTGAGGGAGAATTAGGCTGGACCTGCGAGACAGATGATCTCGACAGGATCCGGGATGAGGGTGGGACTGCTTGCTTTCGAAAAGGCGCTATATCATGGGCAAGCTTCGCAATTCTGGACTTTATTTGGGAAAGGGGATACGCATGAGAAACTGGGGAAGTTGCAAATGACGGCAATGACGACTCCGAGAATATAAGCATCTCCATGAGCTACTCGCTATCTAAATAAGTCCTGCGGCCGAAAAAGAGCCAGAACCTGGTGCCAGAAAATGTTGGACTTATCGTGGAAATCTGTCCATTTTTAACACCTAACTATATCGTAGATTTTGAATAAATTAAACTAGTATCCTCCGGGAATCCCCAGTTATCGCCTGAAGGGTCTGAGTTCAAGCGTCAATTAGCAGCCTTCCAAGCCGCGGCATATAACTTAAAGCGCGTCAGACTGTTTGTAGTCAGGAGTGCGCGCTGAAACCGTCGACCCCACTCTCTCTTACCATTGCCGAGCAAAAGTCCGCTGTCTGAGCCGGTCAGTTGTCTGATGTGGGGAGTGGACTCAGTGGCTGGTAGGCCTAGGGAGCTCGTCTGTGCGCGCAACACACACCACCCGGCCCCCGAAACGCACATAGTGGGATTGTGCACAAAAATGGGTATGCTGCCAGGACCTCACGTGTAAGAGAGCTCCTTTAGGAAGGAGTGGTCACAGTCGGACCCTCGGTTCATCAGTCAAGAATTCAAGGCGCAAATACACACTGGGCTGACTGCATGGTCTGAGTGGAACTGTCAGTTTTTGGCATTCATAGCCAAGGTTTTTAGCCCACCATGGCAGTCTCAAGCGTGTCAGACTGTTTGTAGTGAGACATTATAAGATGAGGGCTGAATTCACTCACTCTGCCCTTCCACATGAACCGATGGACTATATGAGTCGGTCGACCAGCTGATGCCGAGTTTAGGAGAAGTGGTTGGCAGCTGCGAATATCCTGTCTGCACGTGCCGCACGCGTGACCTGGCCCTCATACTCACACACCAAAACTTCACAGGGGAAGACGGCTCAGTTCTCGCACGTGCCGTAGGAACCACATGGGGAAAGAGCCCAAGAACATACTTATCACTTACATGAGAGGTGCCTGGGTTGTGTGGTGTTGGAGGAGTTTGTGTGTGGTGCATGAGTTGATGGGGAAGTTCGTGGTATTAAAATGCAGTCTGTGGTGATTTACTGCATACTTCCGTGAAGGCGCATGCGACCGAGTAGGTCCATGCGATGGAGGCATGTGCCAGCACAATACAGGCAGTTGAGGCGGTGGCGGCAGGTGTATGTTAGTACTCGAGTCATTGGTTCGCCAGTGTCTGTGCGATGAATTTGCAATTGGCCAACAAGGCAGATGAGTGAGCTGAATGTCCGAGCCCCAAGAGGACGAATTCGGACACAGTCCACACTGATGGAGACGGGGGGTGCCGATGAGGCTTATATTTAACGAGCTAGTAGTCTTTGACGTCGACACGGACGTTGTTGCAACAAAGATGAATGATGTAAGATGGACGTACAGCTAAGTGATATACACACTATGAGCCTACGGCCTTAGGGGACTCACCATCATGACAATGATGTCTTAACCCTCATGTTTGCATACGTAACTAATCATGTCTACTTTTTAGGTAGGAAAATACTGTTTAACGGTTTTGTCCTATTAGTTTTGCCGCCTGTTTTAGTAAGTCTTTCCGATTCCCATTCAGGCCATTGCCCTTTTCATGCACTCGTCCCTCAAGGTTTACTTGCAATCCCAGCGTTAGTTCTCTGATCACGTCGATTTCAGTAGTTGTGGGTTTCCCGTTCTTTTTTGATGACTGGTTTCGAGAGCCAGTAGCTGTAGAAATTATGGCCGCTCTAATGTTTAGATGGAGTTTAATGTCCTTGTAACCTTCAGCCGAAGAATAACCGAATATGGCGGGTTTGTTTTAAGTCCGAAACAAAATATGTTTTTGCATCTCACGTATATTGCGTCCCAGTCGGTTTTACTGAACTAAAACCCAGGCGGTCGTACCGATGTGGTCACTCACTGTCGTACGCGTTGCTTGTTTCCTGCCGTAGGTACAACATTTGAGGGTATGGATTTTGACGACATGACTTGTTCAACGTCGCCATTTTCGGCATCCGATTTCTCTGCTGATCTGGCAGTTATTTTGCTCAATACCGCTCTCGCATTTTGGTTGACCCGGAGACTTTTAAAATCATTTGGGAAAGCTTTTATCAGCGCCGGTCTGAAGGGTGTAGATATGAATAAAGCAACGCAGCCCGTACTGTAAGCACTTTTTTTCTAAACTCTTAGACCCGAGGCACAAGGTGTCGTTGCCGCCGCTGTCTATATTTCCCTTATGTTTTTATTTATCCCGATGCCGTTTCGACAACATATTCTGGCAGCGTTCGGCATATCTTCCCCCGGCAGTGTATGATGTCTGCTTTTTGATCATTCCTCCCTAGTCACCCTCCTGTGAACGTGCTTTTTTACAGGAGCAGGCGGCACTTTTCAAAACGAAGGTATCTTCATATTACGATTAATTTCGCCCAGCTCATTCCGTTTCTTGCGGCACTGCTCTCCATATGCTGTATGATATTTCTTGGGTTCGCCGATGATGTATTGAACCTCCGATGGCGGCACAAGCTTCTCCTTCCTACATTGTCTACCCTTCCCCTGTTGATGGTCTATTTAGCCAATCTCGGAACCACTCGGATTCTTATTCCCATACCGTTCCGGAATATTTTCGGCGTCACTGTGGATATAGGTAGTGGTTTCTGCTTTATACTTCAATTCACCATGTATAAACGCGCGTTACCTTAGAGCTACTTAGGTTTTCTTCTTGCTTAACCCTTTCTAGGTTTTATGGACGTCTCTCTGCCTGTCTTCCCCTAAGTGCATTTGTTAATTTCGAAACCTACAACGGACGAAAACTTTATAACGTTAACCATCTCCAAAGATTTTATCTGGAGCTGAGATGTGTATTTTGTTTAATAGCCTCTCTCCAGCTTTTTTCTTTACCTGTTTCGACTTTTATTTGTATAATTACTTCCGTCAGTTGAACCACTTGGTTTCAGGAGAAGGAACGTTGTACATTTGTAATCATACTTTCAACTAAAATCTCGCTGAAGGTTGGTCGTGTTTTGGCTCGTAGATCTTTCGTGCCATTCAGCTAGGAGCAGAGTTTTTTGCCGAGCTATTTATATGCGTATGACCAGCGAACCCGCAGCTTTCTCGCCCTTCGTCCGGCCGAAGCCAAGTCCTACATTTTTGCTCCTGCGTCCTGCCACGTCGCGCTACAGCAAAAAAATAAAAATCAAATTAGACTCTTAATGCCCCTGACAGAAATAGACCGTAATTACCCCGGATGTCTCAGGTTGCAAGACGAGGCCGAATTTCTGTGCTTATTCTCAACCATGCCGGATTGCCGTACTTTTGTGACATCAAGGCACACCGCAAGTGATAACTTGGGCACGGGTGAGAATTGAACTTTTAGACTCCTAGATGTTGTAAGTTCCGGCACACGCATCAAAGAAGTATCATGTGGACCCAGCTGCAGCACCGTGAACTAATCAAAATAAAGGTGATCTGGCTGGGCATGCAATCATCGCTCGAATATCACATCAGCCGATATTTACGGCGATTCTGTGAGCACGCGTTGGTGGCAACCAACCGGTTCTGACTTATAGAGCTCAATAGTCTTTCAGCATTGTCTTGCCGAAAACTAAGCTCGAAGTTGCCAATATTTTAAATTTTTGAAGGTTCGTTGAGTCCGGTCTGACCATTCCGGACCCCAACAATAATGGGAAGGAGTTTTTCAACTAGTTTTTATAATTCCTGGTATAAGGTTTCATTATCGCACTGATTGACAGTTGTTTGTATGACGTAGGCGAAAATGACAAATGCTGATAGAGTACTCTTTCAGTCTTGCACAGGCTGACTGGTCATTGACGAGTTTTCACGTAAAGAAAAGTTGGTTCGTTCCTCCTGGTAGGGCGGTCGCGACACCCTTCCACTAAAGAATTATTGGATCCACCGTTGTAGAGTGAAGGAGGAACTGACCCCCAAATTACTATTTCTGCGAACCTGCGTCTGGGATTCAGTCAAACAGCAAGTATGCTCGTTGCACTACTGAAGGCTGTGTATCGTCGAATTTTGGCTATCAGGAGCTAGAAACGTCCGCACATTCTACTATCCAGTACTGACGGTTTATTCTTCAACGAATAGTCAAGCTCACTTAGTAGAGCATACCAGCTCATACGAACGCTTTAGAACGACTCGGAGCCGGGTTGGTTTTTTAGGTCTTCTCTAGCGCTTTCGCTCAGGGAAACCTAGTCGCATACCAGCGAGGGTAGACTAACTCATCTAAGATCGGTCCACAGTCGCAGTGTCGTGACATTGATATTTTGTAGGATAGTCAGTGTGCCAGCCTCAGACCTCACTCTGTTGGCATCGTCCATGCTGGTACGAAAGCTATTGTCCTCTGATGCAAGATTGTTTTGCCGTCATCTCTCACGAAGGGCAGTTTCACTAACCGACATCCATAGACGCACCGGACAACTAATAGCTAAGCCAGAGGCAGAACGATTTTTACTGCCTTTCCCACCAAGTCATTGACTGGTATTATCACGAGCCTTACGGGGCTGGCTAGTTGCGTCGCAGGCGAAGTGGGCCTAATAGTCATTACGGTGTTCGCAGTTTAAAAAAAGTTGTCATTGGATGCTGTCTTTGGCTCTGTTCATATCATAACCTCCTACTTAACACGATTTCCATCGCATATAGGCCAACTGCCACTAGAAAATGTACCCCTGACGACCAATATGGCTTTTAAATTTCGACTCCATAATTGTATAAGGGATTATAATTCGATCCACGACATCATTTAATCACCCACATCCAGCTCGCAACGCATCTTTCATCTCGATTATGTCACTGGACTACACGCAATGACTTTGGGACCCAGCTTGGAGACAGGTATATCAGACTGTTGACAGACTCTGACCGAACTTCTACCGACAGCCAAGATGTCTGCTAAATACGGGCCCAGAATCACGATTCGACTCCACCTGTCCATCTCACAGCATCAACTTTTAAGGGAAGGATCGTGCTGAAATCTTTAAAAGTAACGAAACATGGACGCACGTTTCTACTGGCATGGGAACCTTTCAAAGATTCAAAGACGCCGCCCTATTCATGGGCTTCCTAACTATTCGCCTTAATAGTAGGTTAAATAGACAAAAGTTTGAAAAATAAGTTCTTGTCGGCAAGTTGTTTCTTCGCACATACAGCCAAAGCACGAACTGCCTAAGGTGAGTTCACTGTAAGTTAAGCCGTAGATAGCGAAACTAGGACCCTCGTCACGAACCAATCCAGCCGCCTGTAAGCCTGGGCTGAGAATATTTTTGAGTGGTTCGGCTGCCACCAGCAACCAACTTCCGTAATCAGTGCTGGGCGCTGATGCCCATGCTATGCACCGTGTCTTTTCTGGAGACAATGTCGACCATTTGTCAGAAACGCGAAAACGGTATTATTTCATATGCCTTGGGACGGTAGCCGAAGATAGGAGTGTCCTACCGAGCTCTCAACGCTCGTGGATCGTATAGCGGACGCTTAAAACATGTTGGGCTAGATCGAGTAATATGTTTCTTAAAGTACGCAGTAGTCAATGCACTATAGAATTAGATAAGATTTTGACGGCTCACATTGGCCGGTAGTCTTTATTATTCTCGTTTGAAAATTTGTCAGAAGACCTTGGTCTGACCGAAGTTTTGCCCACCCATGCAGTGAAGTGGGCGGATACGAGTCTGGAGGCTGTCTGTCTTCGCAGCGGAATGCAAGGACGCTAAGAGAGTGTGTCTGGCAGGAATTTCATTGACAATTGTCCCTGATATGGTTCCCAAACGTTTCTCAAAA